GTGACAGGTTCTGATAATTAAGCAGCACATATCCTTGCTGGTGGGGCTCAGAAATACTTTCAGGTTAGTTAAACCCAACTCGTTCAGATGTTCCTCAATTGAGGATTTTCCCAAGACGTGACACACAAGACGTCTTGGCGACCCCAGCCTTCAAATTGAAACGACAAAAAAAAAAAAAATGTTCCGCCATTAAATTCCGCTATTACTCCAGTTCATCAACAAAGATTCACGGTACTTCAGCCTCAAGGGGACACGCCAGATTGATTCAGGTCATGCAACTATCAGATTTGTAATACTAGAAAGCATATTTACTGTAGCCCATCACAATCCAACAAGGCAAAACATACGTACATGTTAACATATCCACTGATTTGAATTTTCTTGTTTCGTGAATGTTCAATTAAACTAAGTAAAATTAAAGTCCTCTGACGACATTCGACGATATTAGTAAAAAACAATAAATGAAACTCATTTTAATACAAACATATATTTAAAAACACATCTTGTTTTAAATGTTTATTATCTTCAGAGCCAATCGCAATTAAAGAATTCGTTCAACAAAATATTTCTTGAAGTCAACACCCAGGGGCGACAGTCTATTTCATGCTTAAACGCAATCGTTTAAAATGCAATTAAAAGCACACACACACTATATTATTGGGACTCATCATCAGTGCACATCCACTACCGAGATTCGAACCCGAACCGTTTCGATACAGCGCAAGCGTCATCTCGGTAGTGTATGCGCATTGCTGATGAGTCCCAAAATAGGACGAAACGGCCGTCCAGTGCTTTCTGCATTCTGTTGAGGATTCTTCTAGACTCGAGGAATTACTATAATGATTTGCCTGAATCCCCAAAATTGTATTACTTGTATATCCTTGCTTGACCCAGTTAATGCTCTGTAATGAAACGGTTCGGGGGGAAAAGAAAGTCGTGACTCTTGGAGCACAATCCGTTGGGTTATAAATACTTGAATGAGTATCACCACAGAATTTGTAAGTAGCGGCGTTATATCGGGTCTATTCAGTTTCTTCTTCGTCACTGATGCCCATTGGTACAGTTGGTATGACGCTTCCGTTGTATCGAAACGGTTCGAATCTCAATAGTGGATGCGCACTGCTGATGAGCCTCAAAATAGGACGAAGCGGCCATCCAGTGTTTTATTTTTTTGCATTCTGTTGAGGATTCTTCTCGACTCGATGAATTACAATAATGATGTTTGTGTGTGTACTTTTGTCAGTATTTTCGAAGCTCGCTACATAATTGCAATGATCTGCTTGTCACGAGCGCAATTCGCATATGATTTATATATTGTTTTATTGAAATTACTTCCCAAGTAAAACTATTTGATTTTAGTCGGTCATTATCCATCATATCGAACGCATTGCTTGCTTTCAGACGATCAAAAAGTTCAGTTGGTCATGAAGGAACTAAAACTTATAGAAAACTACCACGATTTAATGCTAATTTCCCCTATTTTTCGTTTTCTTTGGAGCGAGGGGTCAAATTAAGAAAATTAATTCAAAAAATTACCAATGTGTATAATCATCAAATTAAAACGTCCCTGAATAAAACCAATACAAAGTTCTAAACAAAAAACCAGATGGAATTTACTGCTTACTACTTGTTTTCCTACGGTTAAAATATTCAGTTGGCTATGAAGGAACTCGTGGGTTCACGCCCACCTAATTATGAAGACGTTTGCTTTTTGGCGGTGTTTCAAAACTAGAAAAGGATGGAACAATAGACCCCGAATCCCTCTTTTGACATTTTATTGTTTTTATTTCATTTTAAGGAATAAAATTTTCATTTTTGATGATATAGATACCACATGGTAGCTATCCATAGCACTTCAAACCATCCGAATATGATCGTACAATTCCAGCTTTTATTAGAAATAGCTCTTTTTCTATGCGCCGTGTCCCTTCAGGCTGTGGGCGATCATGGATGACTACAAACTTCTACCACTGTAACCCTCAGCAGTATTTTTTCTCTTTGTCAAACCTCTCGTTCCGCAATCTCTTCACAGAAGCTTGTCAGGTAGTTGGTTGACTGTCTTCCATATATCTCTCTTGCTTTCAATATTTCCTGTTCGATTTAAGTTCTCCCAGCCGCCCTTCCTCAAGTTCAAGAAATTTAAATTACCTCTTTCTGATTCTGAGTATAAGCGTTGCTATTGTTGTCATTTTCGTCGTGCCGTCCATGGAATTCTCAGTATCCTTCCGTAGAACCACTTTTATGCTACCGCTAGTTTTCTCCTCAACCGTGGAGAAAGTATTCAGCATTCACTGCCACATAAGATGATGGCCATTGCATAGCAATCTCGCACACTTTTCTTTGTTTCTAACGAAATTTTCCTGTTTATAATTATTTTGTTTAGCTTTTGGAAGGTATCTTTCACTAATATAATGCGCCTTCTGATTTTGGTATCACATTTTCTATCCTCCGTTTTTTTTTTTAATAATTTCAAAAAAAAAAAGGCAATAAAGCCACTTAGACACAAAGGGTTACTGGGTGTCAGGGAATGTGAGAAAAATACCCCCCCCACAAAAAAAAACTATTAAGGGGAGAGAACAATAAAAGAACAAGAATTAAGAAGATAGAAGATAACGATTGTTATTGCATTTAAAATTTTGAAGATTGGGAAGCAAGAATCCGCAAGTTCCACAAGCGAGAAGTGCAATAGAAGAAACTGTTAGCATCTATCCATTCCAACTGTAAAATGATGAGACCTATCCGACAATCTAGTACTACGCTTAAATTCATAAAATCGAGGTGCCATAGAGGAAAGTTTATCAGAACAATTACTATGAAAGTATTTATAGTTACAGCAATGGGAAAGTGACTTAAGCCGAAATGCCAGATCAGGACCAATAACATTTCAGATTTTTCTTTGCATGTTTAAGAATAATCACTAAATACTTAGCTTGAAATTACAAACCAAAATAAAAGCTTCAAGAAAGATTTTTTCATATTTAAAATGTATTTTAAACCTTAGGTATTACTTTTCTTTGAAGATTCTTCTCTCTTTCCCTCTCTCTCTCTCTCTCTCTCTCTCTCTATATATATATATATATATATATATATATATATATATATATATATATATATAGCTAAGAGCTGAGTGACAGATCCCAGCTAGTCAATATTTATTATCAAACGAGGGTATATGTGGCACAAGGCCGAGTTTAACCTGGGTAATCATAGCCCGTAGGCTCAGCCCAAAAAGTTCTCCATAGACCCTCCATAAAACGGGATCGGGTAGCTGTTTCCCGAGACGAGACTCTGCCCTTCGACATAGCCTCGTCTGGGGATCCTCTTCGCCTCCAGGTAGAGACTTTGACCAGCACAGCTGGAAAAGATTCCACCTAGTCAATATTTACTATCCAGTGTATCAAAACGATCTCAATGTTTGACTGGTCCATTAATGTCCAGTTTTATGGCACTATAGAGAGATGCTGTTTCAATCCCAATCGAATAACAAAATGTATTTTGCTATACGATTTCCACCGTCATAGTGCGAAGACGTTCATCACAAGAGTAGGGAGATCATGTTGCTGCATGCCTTGGGCACTTCCATGTGGCGTAATGGTTAGCAAGCTTGTCTCGCGAGACCAATTACAACTGAGTAGTGAGTTCGATCCTCACTGGTTGCCAGATACTTTTAGCCGTGTGCCAAACCCAAGTTTCAGCTTGCATTGTTTGGTTACAGCCATGGAGTCTACGGGGAGTTTGCTGATAGTATTCAATTTACTGCAACTGATACTCTTTTTTTGTGTACGAATTTGAAATGTAAAAAGAAATCTGTAGATAATTACAAACACTGTATATTTGGGTCAATAATAACTTTTATCAGAATTAACAAGAGAAGAACTGTTGGGGAGATTTGTGAAAATATTGCAACAATGAAAATAATGTTCATCTTGAGTAAAGTAAATAGAGAACCCTCCCTGCCTCCCATCAGAATGGCTGATGTCCAACTCCACGAGAGCGCCTCTTTGCGCTTGCTTGGTCTCAAGCTGTCAGCTGATATGAGGTGGAACATATACATAGACTCAATAGCTTCATCTACCGCAGAGAAAGTGGGTTCTCTGTGTCGTGCCAGAAAGTTTTTTTCTCGTCTGAGCCCATCGTTCAAATCTATAAATCAACCATCTGCATTTGCATGGAATATTGCTGTCATATATGGTCTGGTGCCAACGCTGTAAGTGTCCTCGACAAATTTCAGATACGGATGCTCTGGCATCTAGTCTACAGTCGCTTTCTCACAGATGTGCTGTGGATTCCCTCTGTCTCTTCTATAAATATTTTCATGGTAGCTGTTCTGACGAGTTGCTTTCTCTGGTTCCCAGACTGAATGAATTTAAGCGAACTACTAGGTTGGCATTTCGGTCCCACCTTCTTCACTGTCGAAACGGTTAAATGTAACCGTCTCTTCTACTCCAACAGCTTCTTCTCTCGCACTTCCTGTCTGTGGAATTCTCTTCCTCTTACTTGCTTCCCTGATAACTATAATCTCCAAATATTCAAGTGTAATGTCAATCGACATCTTTTGATACCTTGATCTTGTTCCCCGTCCTTCTCTTTATCCTCCCCCCAAACATGCCTCTTTACTCTTGTTCTCTACCCTCTCTAACCCCTTGCGTGCTGGTGGCACTCCCGCCTTGCTTGGGGGGAAATTCTTTAAAAAAATGCTCTAAGGTGTGTTAGGGCGTGATAGATTTTATTACTTACGGGCGACTGGCTTAACGGTTAATGGTAATGAAAATGGATTAATTAATAGATTAGTTTTTTTTTACGGCTTATCCATCTGTTGCAGGTTATTTACAGCCAGAAAATATTTTATAGATTGTAACAATTTTTTTGGAGATAATGATATACTGATACAAACCACACTAATTAACCCATAGCATGGGGAGAGAAGAATTCGTTCTCGACTTTCTGATTTCAAATTCCGTGCCCTTATCCATTACACCACCCGCACATTTAATCTTACTAGCACCTGGTATTTCCAAGAGGTCGCCCATCTAAGTACTCACCATGCTTGACGTTGCTTGACTTCGGGGATCGTATGGGAACTGATGTTTCAACGTGATGCGGCCGTAAGCCCACTGAAACGGCGGGTCAAATTCAAATCCTGACTGGGTAGTTGATGTTCTCTTTGTACTAATGCTAAGGAATGCTGATTGATTATTGGATTGAAAAAAGAGTGTAGAGTTAAGCAATAAAGTTCATTAAACAAGATGGGAGTGGGAAAATGACCCTTTACTTGGAACGAGTGTAGGCTGGAAGATGCGATTTATTAGTTTTCCAAATGAAGCTAGTAGGAGGGAAGAAAATTTTTACCTTTCTTAAAATCATAATATGCTGAAATGTTACTTATTTTCTTCCATATTCAATATTTGAATTAATAATCAACCAGTTTTGATGAGTTTTGGTAGAGTTAAACCTGTCATATCAGTGTGCATTTAAAAAAATGTGCTCTGATATGACAGCTTTAACTCTACAAAAACCAACTGCTGTGGCCATTCAACCAGACAATCATTCTACTTTATATATATAGTAGACCACCCATAAACCGGTTGGGTTTCTTTTAAAAGCAGTTCATGATACAAAACGATGAGGTAACTATATTATTAATTTTATTTATAATTACACATATTTTAGTTTGCATTTGCAATACAAGTTAGTGTAATAATTATTATTACCCACATTATACAATATTACTTAGAGCAAATACAATTAGAAATTAAATGGACAAGTTTTCAGAATTTGTAAAAAATGCAGTTCTTGATACACAGAACAACATAAAAAACAACAAAATTTCCAACATATTATATTTGTTAATATGATATCATTAAAATAAATTTAACTAATTTGTCAGAAAGGGGAGACAATCCCCTCAAACCTAGTTAATTACCATGAAAAGCACCAAAAACACCTTAATGCAAATATATCCTTATTTAAATTATGAAACTAAATTATTTTACGATATCACTTTCATAAATGCTTTACTTTTTGATATTAAAAGAGAAATTTCTTTCATAAAATGTACTTTGAATACAAAATTAATAAATAATTAATAGTGAAAAAAAGGTACAAGAAGGTTTATTGTTCCACCGAGTTTCATAGTTAACACTTTGGAGTAATAGCTTAAAACAGGTGTAACCGTTTTCAAAATAATATTTATTATACATATTTATTTCTTCCTTGTATTTATTTCAAAATACGTAACGACAGCAAATCAGCGTGCATACGCGGACTGATATTATAAGAATGTGTAATCGAAAACAAATACTGAATTTCCAATTGAAAATGTAAAAACAGAGAAACGGCCCTAGCTCAAGAAACCTTCGTCTAATTTTAATGAATGTTGGTACTGAACTTGCAGGGGTTCAAGATACAATATGCTCCTAAATTGGTTGGGGTATTATATATTATTTATCTTGGAAAGTTTAAATACAATATCAGTCGTTACCTGCTATTCTATTGTTCTCGTTCCTTAATGTTACTGTTTTCTAATTCTTCCATACCCAGTAACCCATTGTGGCTTAGTGGCTTTACACCCTTGCTTTGAGTGATCGCAATTAAAAAAACAAAGGTGTATCCGGAGAACATGCATATATACATACAAGATTAGAATTTTAGTATTGTATAGATATATATTGTTTCAAATGATTTTTGCTAACAAAGTAGAAAAAAAAAAAGAAAAGGAAAAACTGCGGCCATTTCTGGAAGATAACACTTTTAAGGCAAGGAGTCTTTTTTATTGATTTGTTCAATATCAAAGAAATGGGGCGTTAAATTAAACACAATTAAAACGCAAGAAATAACATTAAATTATCGCTTATCTGCGTGAGTTTCGCAGTGATAGTAAGATTTATTAAAACTCAGAACAGAGATAAGTGAACATTTGGTATTATTTACATTATTCGGACTATCACAACGTTTCGGCCATTGTACGCTCCGGCCTTCTTCAGGTGGTTGGAATGTCGAACTGAACCCTTTATCTCACTCACTGGGGTAGACTGTCCTAGTTCCACGTGCCATGTTTGATGGATGTCAGTTATCAGTTATCTCCTGTTAATTTCCCTCTGAAAGTTCTCCACTGCCTTAACCGGGTATTGAACTCACACTCTTTGGGTCCTGTCACTGGATCTAACCAACGCCTTTATCCCCTGGAGGACATCTGTGTATTAAAACCTAATGTCTTCAGCAACCATTTTTTACCAGCGCTCATATTGCAATAGTCCGAATAATGTAAATAATGTACATAATACCTCATCTCAGAAATATAGACAGACTTTGATATTATTTGTTGATATATATATATATATATATATGATTTCAACACCAAGCAGCGACAGTCCGTTTCATCCTCAAACGCGCAATCTTCAGACCGTCTCTCTCTCTCTCTCTCTCTCTCTCTCACACACACACACACACACACATAACCGACTCTTTATTTCGTCTACCGGGGTAGATTGTTCTAGTTCCACGTGCTATGCCTCTTCCGGGTGTCTTAGTATCCGTTATCTCCGTTTAACTCAAATCTCCAAGTTCTTTTTTTTCACCTCTGCTATAGCCAAGTATTGAACTCACAACTCTTTGGGTTTAGTCAGTGGATTCAAACAATGCTTTTATCTACTGGGACATGTTTCCTCGAGGATACATGCTGCATTTGATAAAATATATATACCCACTTGTTTTATGTCTAGCTTTGCTATTGGAAACAATCACGTCACCTTTAACCAATATTCAAAGCGCACCACGTGCAAAGTTTATTTTCTTCCATTTTTTTTTTCTCTTTAAATGAAATATTTAAGTGAAGTTACAGAGGATCTATCTGCCTAGGTAATACCTCTCTTTCGGGAGGGAGTAATGATCTTTACCCGGCACCTGAGATGTCCCTATAACTGGACTGTTTTTGGTCTTTGGTCTCATATAAGCGTGGGACCCCTGCTTTGATCCGGGAAATTTACAGCCTTTCGCGTGAGTGAGAGTTTAGGTAAATCCTCTTTTAAATCGGTTTTATCTTCATTTTTTTCTAGACCCCACTTTTTTGGCCGATGAATATAAAAGCTAAATGAATTGAAAAACCGGTTCTGTGTTCGGCGCGACACGTTGCGACCCCCTTGAACACTATTACTGGGCATACAGTCTCCCCGTTATCAAGCTGTATGTCTCACTCACTGCACTCGCCAGAATCATAGCCTATACTAATGGCCTAATTTTTGTTTAATGTTTTCTAGAGACATTTTTTTAGGCACGCGATCTACTTCTGCTTGTATGCTAATGATATAAACTCAACGACTAATGTATACGCCAACTCAAGTACCGAACCTTTTTGTAGATCAGACGAATGCTGGAATATAACATTAACACCGGACGAAGCTGAGAGTGCAATAGCAGCTTTGTTAATTGTCTATGCCAAAGAAAATATGAATATTCATACTATGCACTCGACAAACAGAACAAAATATCAACTTTCATCAATGAAAATATCATCTTACAACCTGAAATAGATTAAAAGCATTCCCAAGAAAACAATCTAAAATACATAATTCTCGCGCTTACTCACATTCATTATTCTTTCATCCATAAGAGCTGTTAGCAGTAAGACATCACCATCCGCGGAATTGCCAACTGCTGTTACATTTATCCGCGTTTGGCCAAATCAGGAAGAGTTTCATGTTCAAACGTAAACTACTTTGAAAATATATATTTTAAAGGAGTAATATATATATATATATATATATATATATAATATTTCAAAGTTTATTTTTAGTGGATACCTGTATTTCAGTAGTGGCTCCGTTTTTCTTTTAACAGTATTTCTTTCGTCTACCGCCAGGCACACTAGAGAAAACTTATTAAAGAAACCACTGTCTGATTCGGGTGCTTTAAACACTCGGCTACGAAGACCTTCATAATCAAGCAAAGTTCTATTCGCCTTTAATGCATATTCACTTCTTCAGATTTTCTCGAAAAACAAAGCAATCCCTAAAGAATTAAAGACAAATAGACGCTTGCTTGATGAAAAGTTACTCATAGCTGAGTAGTAAAAACACGTCGGAACAGACGATGGTTTCTCCTACAGAGAAGGACTTATTTTCTTTAATAAGTTTTCTCGAGTGTGCAGGCCGCTAGACGGAATAAATACTGTTTAAAATAAAAGAAAATGCAGTGTCTACCCAAATGTCAGCCACTAAAATATAACGTTTGAAGTGAATAAAATATGTCGTATTAGAAAATAAAATGCAACAATTATATATATATATATATATATATGTGTGTTAGATTGATGTGACCCTGGGTTTCACGCTATTTACGATGTTTGATTAAAATGTTTGATTTATATGTGGTTGCGTATATCGGTGTTTTTATGATAGTAGGAGGAAAAAATGTCGTCGGAACGCCACTCATATGTACGCAGACATACATACACGCACGTTCACGCATTGCAGCTCACACAAACATAAACATATATGGTGCGGGACTGGGCGTATATGCGCATCCATGTGTCGTTGCGTACATACGTACGCATTTGGTTTCTGTATTCAATGTTGGATTTTTTATATAACTTCTTTCGTAAGTCGCAGTGTCAACGTACAAACCGTTCGTCTATTTTGTTCGCGGAATGTTTTCTCGCAATCACATATATACGTATGCACACGCGTTCACACATCTTCTATCCGTCTGTTTTTGTTTTTTTTATATCTTGAATAATAATTGTGGTGCGGTAGTAATTGTGGACTAATGCGTCAATGGTAATTGTGATGCGGTAGTAATGGTGGTGGGGCAGGTGATGTTGAAGTTATTCGGTTATATAATTAAATCTTATTAAATCTTGTCTCTGGGGTCTCTGTAAGACTATGGTTGGTAAAATTGTTATTTATTTAAAAAATTTTTGTAATGCTGTTTTGTTATTATTTTAAAGCCGGTTATTTGCTTGTTTTTGGCGATTGCGCTTATGTAAATGATAGTAACTCCAATTTATAATACTTATTAGGATTTGTGCGGTGATATTAATTTTGCTGGGGGGGAGGAGGTATAATTGTGGACTGGTGCGGTAATGAATGATAATTGTGGTGCGGTAGTTCAA